TCAAAATGACATCCAGCCACCCAATTAAAACTCGCCGAGCTTAAAGTCTATTAGATTCGCATGAGTTCAATCCCAACCTAATGAGATGGGAAAATGTTCATATAAAAAATGTAATAATAATTTAATAACAAGAAAGGCAATGTCGATGGGGGTTTAAAAGCAATGAAAATGGCAATTTTATAGTATTGAATGGAGCAAGAAAACTTTTAGTTCTGAGTCGTATTAAAAAACCACAGAAAATAAAGAGAAAATATCCTCAACGTTATGAATTGTTAGAAAGTCGTCGACGAGAGTAAAAAAATTTTATTTGCTTACACGGCAAATTGAGCATCAATGAGAGTTACGGGAGGTTCTATAAAATATATGAGCAGCTACTCCTACTCGCCCATAAATTTTCTCTAATACAATTCGCATCACGTTCCATTTTAGCACACAATGAAAAAGAAGAAGATGAAAAGAAAAACATTTTAAATTTTTTTTACAGTTCCATTCAAAAGTCACTTCAGCGTAATTAATTTGACACGTGAGGATGTAAAGTCAAGCGTCCGTTCATCAACCGTTGTAAAATAAATTACACAACTAATTTTCATGACTTTCAACATTGTACATACAATGAATGAGTATAATGAAAATCTAATGTAAAATGTAGCTTAAGCTGAAGGTCAATTTGTATGATTTTGCGGTTTAATAAACTTTTGACTTTTACAATGATGTTGCGGTTTCACCAAATTTTACGAAATTTGAGTTTTATTGAATGACAAATACTTGTCGTTTGCGTTGTCAATTTATTGATGCTAATGAATTTTCATTCTATATTAATTTCTTAAGTTTAAATCTGTTAGTTTTATATTTGGACTGTTATGGCTTTAAAACATTTGGCAGCAGCAATTTACAGCATTTTATTTATAGACGAAATCTGTGTTAATATTAAATTAATTACTACCAATTAATTCCGCAAATAAAATTACAAAAATAATATTAGATTAGTAGCTTTTATTCAATCTACTAATTAAACACCTTAATTTGGATAATTAGATTTAAAAAAGCGTACCGCCTACAAAAAGAATTTTTGCGTCCCACAATCACGCCATCGATATGTTTACAGTATGATTAAACTTCATTAAAATCATTATAATTTAATCTAATATTTCTACGGTCTCACACAAAATGGAAATTGATTGAATTTTAACTTAATTAAAGTCAGCAAAAAATTATGGCACAGCTCTTTTTTTTGTAAATTAAGATATAACAGAAACCATTTTCAGTGGATTTTCATCCGTAATGATAAGCAACCGACGACTTCTCTTTAATTTAGACTACAAGGAGTCTTTAAACGAGAAGATAAATACGGGATTGATTATAAATTACGTTTTCAACTCTGAAATCATGTTTGCATCATTCTAAATCAGTGTGAGTCTTAATATCATACCCAACAAATTCAATTTTAATTATTTTATGATAAAAAACTTGTTAAATATCAATTTTGATTGACGTTATTTGTATAGAAATCCCAAAAGGAGGAAAAAGAAAATGTAAAAAATAATTGAAAATAACGATAATGATGTCCATCTGCTTCATGAAAGTAGCCATGAGCATGTAGGTGTCGGATAGAAACTGTTTTTGTCATAAAATGTAATTGATGAATAGCGTGTTTAAAGGCTGTTGTTGCATAGAAGCGAAAATGTATGGATATCCGCTTTTCCACCTTTTTGCTCAACTTAATTGTTTTAATCTTTTCGGTTGATTTCACGTGAATTAATCATGTTGAAATGCTGAGTTTTCCGGATAATTGAAAAATTGGTATAGCTTTGTGAATGAACGCGCACTTATTGTCCCGAATGTAACAAGCTGAATACAAATTACTTTAGTTGAAATTTACTTTCAGAAACATGTTGCCACAAAAAGTTTTCAATTTGTAATTAATTTTTAAAATTTTTGATTCAAAAATACCACAACGAAGTTTTGCAATACAGTAAACTGCATTTCTAGATCTATGGATTAATAAAACAGAAAACAATAAAACAATGAAGCCCTGTAGGCTATCGTATTGCCTAATCTCGAACAAAACTTTTTCTATTTCCCATTATAATCAATTTTCAATTATATCATGATTAAGAGCAATCAGTACCAATTTAGGAAACATAAGGAACAACAATATTCATGAAAATCAAAAATGAAAGGAAATTGAAAAAGTTTTTTTTTCATATTTTCAAGCTAGATTGAGAAATTGCCAGACTTTCCAATGAACAATGAAGAAACACCAGAAAATGTAATTTTTATATGATAGATCGTAAAAAGTTATTGAAAATAATTTTTGCTCTCCATTTATCGAAGCTTTTTGTGCTCAATTCAATAAAAAAATATTTTATTGCAAATTTTCCATTCTCTTACTCGATTTTTGGTATTTGTGATCTTGATAAGATGAATTATTATTATGCACAAATTATTGTATATGTGATGGCTTTTATTGTCATGAAAATGCTCAATTTTTCGTGGTTTTTGTTCTACATGCAGTAAAATTTATGCCCTCAAGTGCTTTTTTATCTATCATCAATTTGAATATACGCGTATATAAATCGTTAAGCATCACGACGTTTCAATTCTCGAATTCCCCATCTGCCTCCTTTATATGAAATAAATTTGAAAAAAGAAAAGGCGTACATGAAATTGCAATTCTTATTTTTTTGGTAGATTTTGCAAGTGATAAACGACATTTATGCCTGAATTTTATAAGGATTTATTTACAGTTGATGTGTCTAAAATTGTATTCTTAACCAGAGTTGCGACGACAGGTACCTGTCACAGGTAAAGGTGACAGTTTCTGTCAAAAGATCACCTGTCACAGGTCGTTACCTGTTCACAGGTCAAATTTTTTCGCCTATCACAGGTCTGACCTGTCAAAGGTTATACCTGTCACAGGCCGTTACCTGTTCACAGGTCAAATTTTTTCGCCTGTCACAGGTCAGACCTGTCAAAGGTTCTGCCTGTAACAGGTCGTTACCTGTTCACAGGTCAATTTTTTTCGCCTGTCACAGGTCTGACCTGTCAAAAGTTCTGCCTGTAACAGGTCGTTACCTGTTCACAGGTCAATTTTTTCCACCTGTCACAGCTCTGACCTGTCGCAGGCCTCACCTGTGACAGGTCGTCACCTGTTGACAGGTAGAAAAAAATCTACCTGTCACAGGTTGACCTGTCACCTGTCACCTGTCACCTTTGACTATCGAAATTTTTTTCTTCTAGTGAAGTATAAAGATTTCATACAAAATTCATCAATTTTTTTGCTTCCTCAAGTCACGAGTTCAAATCTCACCGCAAGCAACTTTCTTTTTTTGCATTTTTATGATTTGTTTTTAAACTTTTTTGATATAACATTAAGTTTTATGACAAAGTTTTCCATTTTCATATTTTATTTCTTCACTTTCTATATTTTAACATTTATTTTAAATTTTTTCCATATATTTTCATACAAATTTAAATTTTTTTGTCATATTTTATCAATATTTTATACATATTTTATTTTAACAAGCTGAAATCTGATACAAAGGCTCTTTTCCTAGATCTGGATGTTCTAAAATCGTAATCTTGGATCATAAAATGGCATAAAATATTAAAACTAGTATAGACTTTGTCATTCGAGACCGCAAAAAGTCGAAATATATAAAAAATTATAATCCAAGATTACGATTTCAGAACATTTAGATCTAGGAAAAGAGCCTTTGTGTCAGATTTCAGCTTGGTAAACTAAAGTATGACAAAAAAATTTAAATTTGTATGAAAATATATGGAAAAAATTTAAAATAAATGTTAAAATATAGAAAGTGAAGAAATAAAATATGAAAATGGAAAACTTTGTCATAAAACTTAATGTTATATCAAAAAAGTTTAAAAACAAATCATAAAAATGCAAAAAAAGAAAGTTGCTTGCGGTGAGATTTGAACTCGTGACTTGAGGAAGCAAAAAAATTGATGAATTTTGTATGAAATCTTTATACTTCACTAGAAGAAAAAAATTTCGATAGTCAAAGGTGACAGGTGACAGGTGACAGGTCAACCTGTGACAGGTAGATTTTTTTCTACCTGTCAACAGGTGACGACCTGTCACAGGTGAGGCCTGCGACAGGTCAGAGCTGTGACAGGTGGAAAAAATTGACCTGTGAACAGGTAACGACCTGTTACAGGCAGAACCTTTGACAGGTCAGACCTGTGACAGGCGAAAAAAATTGACCTGTGAACAGGTAACGACCTGTTACAGGCAGAACCTTTGACAGGTCTGACCTGTGACAGGCGAAAAAATTTGACCTGTGAACAGGTAACGGCCTGTGACAGGTAGAACCTTTGACAGGTCAGACCTGTGATAGGCGAAAAATTTTGACCTGTGAACAGGTAACGGCCTGTGACAGGTGGGCTGTTTTTGTTGACCTGTGACAGATCGCAACTCTGTTCTTAACTCTCATTTTAATAACCAGTCACAAAAAGGTTTTCTCGCAACTTTTGCAAATTATAGAATTTTTGAATCGATTTTTCAGTTAAATTCCATTAAATAATGTCATATATATCAGCATAGACCTCCTAAATCTGAGCAATATAAATGAATCGAAAAAAAGTGTTTAAAGCATAATCAAATTCCAATTCAATATACAAATTAATATAACCTAAATCTTTAACATGCACAATAAACATTTCTCCATTCATTTCACAAAAAGTATTTACCTCTCAATGAGAAATTTCTTTGTTTATTCAATTCATGTGTGAAAGGGAGATAGGCACACTAAAAGACATGTAGAAGAGAAGTAAAAGATTATTTTAAAGTGATGAAAATTTAATTTCAAACAGAAATAAATTGTATGAGCTTTAAATAGTTTTGATTCCATTCCTAGAATACACATATACACATATAAAATTGATTTACATACTCAATATCATTTTCTCTGTCTTTTTTTGACTAATTTACATATTCAAACAAGCAATAAAAGATTCTTAAATTTTCAATATCGTTTCAGAATATTGCTATATAGTGCCTAAACAAATAATGTCGCTTAAAAGATAAACTAGAAGAAGCAAATGAACTGATAGAATAGCAACAAACGAACAAGGAACCATCACATACATACGTACAAGAAAAAAAGAGCTGATTTATTTACAGTCACTAAAGAAAAAAAAATTGTAAAAGATTTACGATCCACAAGAAATTTATTGTTATCACCCCAGCAGAGTAAAAAGAGCAAAAGTCATAGTGAGCGTGTGAGACACCAACAAAAAAGCATGGACGACATGCATCTCAATCTAAGTTTATTCGCAACGCCATTATATGGCATCAACAGTAACAGCAACAACTCACTAAACGATGTCATTGACTACGATATACTTGATGGAACAATTGATGGCTATTACTACAACTACAGTAATCAACCCTGTCCGAGCTTCGCTCAGAATCACACATATCTCAATGTGTCGTGTGACACAACCCTCAATTTTTCTGTCCCATTGTTTGGTATGTGTTGCTATTTGATCTATCAATGATAATATTTTAATAATCATCTTGTGGTGCTTCACTTTCATCTCACATTCTGACTAAATGTTACCATGACTATCATCGTCACCTCATACACATATCATATTATGATGTGGAAAGTTCTAATATTATAATCATTTTAAGGGTATCATATCATGATATTGAAGAGAAGGTGATGATGATGATGATGAAATTGTTGGAAGTATTGAACATGTTTAATAAAGTTGTTGCAACATTCAACGTCATGAATAGGTGAAAAGAAGAGAGGTTAACTGGTGTTAAAACGATTTCAATTTTAGCTCTGAACACAGCAGATTTTCTTGGCACATTTGTTGCTTCATTTTCTTGTCAAGATTTTAATTTTTTTTTTGAAAATCTCATGATAACTCTTTTCAATTTTCTCCAACAAAAATAGAGACTTTAAAGCCAACTATCACTTAATAAATCAAGAACTCTCTATTAGATTTCACTCCATACCAGTTGATTCAACCACGGAGCATATGATGATTGAAATTTATTCTCAAAACCTGACTGAAAATTTCAATTTTCCTAACCGAGAAAAAAATGTCTTTTTTATATTCACAGGTATTATCGCACCATTTTTTATTGTCATTACTATTATAGCCAACTCAGCTATCATTGTTGTGTTGTCGAAAAAAAATATGCAAACACCTACAAACGCAGTTCTTTTAGGTGAGTTGAGATTTTTGTTTCGGCTCTGTTGAATTCTTGAGACGGATAAAAACAGTGGATAGAAAGAAAGAAGAATTCAAACAACACGAATTTTTATGTAAATAACAAATTTTCTCATCATTTTTTTCCACTTTTCATGTTGCTTGCTGCTGATGTCGCTGATGTTATCGACCGTCGATCTGAAAAAAATTATTCTTGTGCAAAATACAAACATTAAAAAAAAAATGAAAATTTTGCTTGAATCAGGAATGGCAATATGTGATCTTTTGACAATTCTTTTTCCTGCACCAGGCCTAATATACATGTATACACTGAGAAATCATGTAAAGCCTTTAGGACCGGCTAGCGTATGCTACATTTATTATTTTTTCAATGAAACTGTTCCTTCGCTTTTTCATACCGCAAGCATTTGGTTAACAGTCGGTCTTGCCTTTCAACGGTAAGAATAATAGTAACTTTATATCCATGTTTCTATCTTTTATTATTCTTACAACCTACACACAAACATATAGTTATAGTATCATACATGAAAGTTTAAACAATCGCAAATGAAGAGAATGGAGCGAAAAATTTATTAAACTTGCTTTTCTCGTTTACAGGTATATTTACGTATGCCACGCGCCTGTAGCACGAATATTTCTTACGATGGAGAAAGTGAGACGAAGCATCTTCTATATTGTTATAGCGGCTGTTATACATCAAAGTACACGGTTCTTTGACACGTAAGCATGCTCACTTTATTAGTTGTAATGAAAAAATCATATTCTGGCTAATTTATGGGATATAACGTGGATTATAAGGCAGTTTTGTTGAATATTTCAGTTTTCTATTAGAAAAGTAACATGTGGAAAAGTTGGGATGTCTTGTCTAAATCAATATAAGTTTCATTGTTGCAAGAAAATATTTTACATAAAGCTTTACAACTCAGTTTGACATTATCTTCTTCCTGATCTATATTGTCTATTAGATTATCATATTCTAATCCTTTTATGTTCTCATTCTTAAAACTTGACGATGAAGTGATTATACTCTATGATAATCACATAATGTGGTCGATATTTTGGCATCCTTTTTTGTTGAATTCATTTAGAACCTAAAAGAGCTTATCTGCTTGGCAAGGGTCAGTGCAATAAAGTTTGAGATAAAAAAATAATTGTAGAGACATCAGTTTCATGAGAAGGAGGATATACATATCATAAAGTTGTTGTTATTATTAGTTTTCTCATGACATGTGAAAAATTTTAATGAAATAAGAAAAGAGAAATTTAGGATATGCATTATCGTTTATCTCAGATAAAGATTATGCAAATAGTTTTAACAGATTGACAAAATATCCTTAAAGGGTCGTTTAGAAATGACATCATGCTTTTAAAGAATGAAAATTCACGTGTTTTATGAACATTTTAACTCAAAGTTCATTGTTGACTGAACTTCTTAGCACCTGGAACAATTCAAGTTGGCATCTAGTAATTATTATATCCTATAATGAAATTTTTGATACCTTGCTTACTTAACGCTCCTTCGCAGACGTATAAATCATTCGTTCCACTGATGAACAAAGGAATTTATATGAGAATTTGTGTCGTGAAGAAAAAATGTGTAAGACATCCGAATGTAAATTTTCACACGTATAATCTCAAACTGACACACGCCCTTAATATAATCAAATATTCTGATCTAATAATAATAATAATAATGCATATTATTGAATATAAAACAAGAAAATCGTATTACTAATGGAATTCTATTTTTCTTTTTCTTTTTTCTCGTTTCTATTTTCCAATTCAATGTGTATCATCGACATCATCATCACATCCTCAATGAACGTGAATTCATGCCACAATGTTATGTAAACCAAAACCGACAAAAATGTGTTTCTGCTATCAACAATAATCAACATCAAAAAAATGTGCTATATCCAGTGAATTTATATCGATAGAGATGGTGTGGCAAGGCGAGAAATACTATGTGTGTCATCAAACACAGGCGGAGTGGGTAGGGAGTATTTTTGGTGAAGATCTTTACTACACAAGCTACTACATGTTTCGCGTAATATTTGTGCATTTATTGCCATGCATTTTATTAATTTTATTAAATATACTTCTCTTCCGTGCTATGCGAATGGCTCAGAAAAAGCGTCAAAAGTTATTTGATAAATGTTGTAAGAAATCGAAACGAGCAAACGATAAAAATTGTACGACATTTATGCTTATAATTGTTGTATCTGTGTTTCTTATCGTGGAAATACCTTTGGCAATTATAACAGTACTGCATATAATTAGTTCACTATTTATCAACTTTTTAGACTATCAAATAGCTAATTTATGTATATTGTTTGCAAATTTCTTCCTCATCTTATCATATCCTGTAAATTTTGGCCTCTATTGTGGTATGAGTCGACAATTTCGAGAAACATTTAGAGAGATTTTCTTCAAAAGATCATTATCAGCAAATGGAAATAATGTAACCACGATAATGGGTGGGGTTGGTAGCAGTAAGAAGCATCATGAGATGTCGTCCCGCTATTCCCTCGTAAACATAAATGGGCCTCGAACAAATACAACGAATGAAACTGTTCTATAACTTTCCTTTCAGTTTTACATTAATATGTTTGCCATCACACCATTCACTATGTCACAAATGTTCCAAATACGCGCTTCAATGCCATTGTCTTTAGTGCTTATGAAGTGAAATTTACTTTTTTGTATACATATTGTATTATTCTTCTTACATATATCATAAGAAGCTGTTATTGAAACCAAGTCTGCGAGTCTATGCAAGGATAATATTCTATGAGTTTGTTTATATCTTTGTGAATGTGAATAAACAGAAATAAGGACTTTTTTCTCCTATAATTTCCAATTCAAATGTTATTCTAGTTGTGTTGTATCATCTTGTGTATATCTTGCCAATTTTAATATTCTGAAGAATTAAATATGCATACTTTTTGTTTAATAGTTTTGATAATAGACAAGTTGTTTATATCCTTTCTACCTCTCAAATCCCTGAGATGTCACGAATCCTAACATATAAACTTTTCTTCCTTAGAAAAATTTATAATGATCTGAAAGCTTTTAAGAACACTTGATGCATGTAGAAAAAAGAGACAAAAGTAATATTGCACTACCTAAAAGCTAAATTAACAAGTGTATTCGCGTATATACCAAAATAAACATTTTGAGTCAATCTATTCTTGTGAAGCAAGATAGATAAATACGAAAGCAGATTTTACATGTTTTCCACTCTATTCATTTCATTCCTATGCAAGTTTACTATTCCATAAAATGTCTATAGAGCTAAAAACATCATTATCATCATCGTCACTACACCATCACGTTGTGTTGTAGTTCTGCAACAGTTCACATATTTCCAATTATTTGGCTTTTTCATCACATTCGTAAACAAATAGAAAATTAATTAAGTCTTCGTTTTCGGGACTGTTATAAAAGAGTAAGAGGAAAATTTGGCATCGGTTACAAAAGCTAGTAATAAATTTTTTTAGTCTATACATAGGAATTGGATTAAAGCAAATACTGAAAATGTATAGACATTCGATATATATTGGCAGTTAGAAACATGATAATGTTAATAGAAAATACCAATTTGAGATTAAAGCTGAGACTTAAAACGATGAAATGTGGAGTTTACTAGAAGAAGGGAAGTATTATAAGGGTTAATGTCAATGAATGATATTCAGATGTATGGACATAAGAGGATTGGAAACTCAAGGTTATGACTGACCTGTATTAAATTGTGCGTAGTAGCAAAATGGACAGTTTAAGAAAGTTTGTGACGTTTAGCTCTTGAAGTAAGATTGAAGATGATTTCATAGACAATTTAATCTATTATTTGAGGCATAGTCGAACTTTAACACGTGCTGAAAATATCAAAAGCTCGACAATAATTACTTCTTATTATCCAAAGACAATTTTAACGAAACGACCAACCTTACCTTTTATGTCTAACGCAATAAACTTAATAGGCTACTAAAACTTGTTCGTTAAATCCTCAAACTGTAATTGGAAATCCCAATGAACATTTTCGGTTTTTAAGCCTCTAATTCTAATTTTATTCTGAAAATTTTGTTTCGATCTTAAAAATTCGATCTCAAGATTCTCAATGAATTTACAGTCATAAAATTTCATTTGGCGATGGAAATAGAAGGACTTAAGATTATAATTTACTTTGTTCTTAAACATTCCTATTTCTTTAAATTATAAATCTTATAATCATAAGAATATATTATAGATATTTCCAAATGATTCATTTGTATCAAGTCATAATGATTCATTAGCTAACAGCTTCTCTCACAATTATAAGGTTTAAGTTACCACATGTTCTAATTGATCTTTAATTAATTTGCTACAACTTCATAACACCTGCATAATGATCAAAAAGTTGATTATAAGTAATACCTAGTTAATGATGAAGCGGTGTGGGAAAAAAGATATTCAAGTAATTTATACCAAAAATTCAATTCTATTTGTTCATAAATGGTTTGAAAATTTCAATTTAAAGATTAATCCATTTGGAAATTTTAAGGCCCCTAACTGGATAAGCAAAATAATTTATTATAGATTACAAAGTTTCGAGAAAATGTCATTATCTTTTGTTGAAAGATCAAAGAAATGCCCAAATTTGTTGTACGATAATAAAAAAAATGCTTAAAGGAGCTCTAGCAAAATTATCATGGAAATTTACTTTAGGTAAAAACATTAAAGCTTATCCAATTTTTTTAAGGTATTTGAGTGAATTTCAACAAAGAATAGACTTCATTAATGCAAAAATATTTCTTCATAAATTTCCAATTCAAATATTTGCCACATTTTTTCATTAATTTTCTCTTTGAGTAACCGCAAAACGTGCTTTAAAAACCACAAAATATCCCAAAAGTAATTTTCGAGCCTATAAACCATTTGTGACCGAAATACAATCTTCATCATATTGATCAAATTGACTCTATTGTTATGAAAGAAATTTCGCTACCCGACAATAAATCTTACTATATCATCACATCGTCATCCTCATTTTTCTAAAAATAATATTTATCGATGGAAGTAAGACTCAAATATATGCTTGCTCGTTATTTGGGTGAGGAAATCGAAAGATATGGATCTAGTTTCAAGCTCAACATATTTCATACCAAAAAGTGAACAAAACCTAAAATAATGTTGTGATAATCAAGACGATGACTGAATAAAATCTTATGACTCAAAAGGTAGAAAAGGAAATGGATTTTACACTAGAAAAAATTTCCATATTCTTCCTTATATCCACTTGATTAGATTAAATGTATTTTAGATTATTATTGTACCTTTATCCATTTCATGCGTGTTTCCCCTTTCAAGTAATGTTATCATCAAACTTTCTTCTTTGCATGCGACCTTAAAATACTTACCACAAATCCACTTTTTCATCTTCTTCTACTTTATTTTCTTAAAGTACTTTTACACACTCGTGTTATGTCACGAACGATAAATTTAGTTGAAAAAAGGAAGAAGATAGAAATGAGATGAAAAAAGAAAATTCAGATAATAAGGTTCTTGCTAGAAAGGCATACAAAACTTATAATTTTTTATGATTGTACGACCTAAAATATATATAAATATATAAGTAAACTTCCTGATCATTGGACCTTTTCTTTTCAATATACCTCTTCTTATTGCTTCCATATTATGCCAAAAAAAAATGTACAGATAACAAAAATTGAAATGGATGTAATTTGTATTTATTTTTATATTATTCATACAATCGCTCTACAAACTAAGATAATATAGCAATATCTTTAAGTTATTATTATTTGTTGTTGAAAACATCCCAAAGTAAACTGAGTCTGTAGGATATAAATTCAAAAGTTTTGTTTTTACGCACAACTTTTATCATCGTAACCACGTTTTCATGGTTTGTCGGATGTGACAAATAGTCACTGTCCTTTTTTTTTGTTAAAGCCATTGAAATGTAGATAAAAAAGCTTAAGCTTTAAAGTTCGACATTCTTTTTGGCATTGAAACTCACAAGTTTTATTGATATAGCTCCGAGAGCAAGGCTGAATGCCTATTAAAAGTTGAATTTCTCTTATAAAAACGACGCAGAAATGTTCACTTTTGATGAACAACATTTTTTCTCATATTATCAAAACTAGAACAGATTAATACTTATTCAAAAACTTGAGCTTTATATCCCCTACGCTCAACCATAAAAATATCAATCAATCAATTAATAAGCTAATTAAGTTAATGATTGTAATAATTGACATGCAATAGGAAAATGTCAGCATATTTCCTGGTATTATTTTTCAGACTGTAATATGCTGTCCATAAAAGAGATGTTTCTTGCTGTTTAACAGCCCAGCACTTTAGTTTTCATTGACAATCAATTTAAGTGATACAAACAGTAAACACAATATTTTTATCGTCCTTTTCGTCTTTTTGTCTTCTTTTTCAAGACAAAAAAATAATAATGGATTACGGCGTGGAGAAAGCTCATGCACGGTGAAGTGATTTATATGTTCATGCCGCGTTACGATTATAGTCTTAGTAGGTTCCAAATTAAGTCACGCATTTATTTGCTCTTTTCTTTTTCTTAAAACGAAATGTTTTATTGTAACCAACAAAAAAGGCATAACATTTCAAAAAGTCATCATGAAAGTTCACAAAAAGGCATCAGTATGCGAACAGCATATAGTTTAAGAACGAATGAAACGAGAAAGCAAAATAGTGGGAAATTTAATGTGAAAATGTGTTGGTGAATAACACTTTAACAGCTTTATAGTCCATTTATTTATTTGGCGTTCCATTAATGACTTAATAATTAGCTCCTTTCCCATTGCTCTATTTATTTGTTGTAAATTTTATTATTGAACCATATGCAAGGGGGATAATATGTCAGCGTAATAATTGACCTGAAATAATCATTATTTTTCCCACACCATTTGTGATATGTCGGAATAAAGTCTTCTAACTTGTTGAAAGCATGTGTCAAGTAAAGCACAGCAAAACAAATACATTTTATAAATTGCTGTGAGATGTTAAAAGAATAATAAATGTGATTTCTGGCTAAATGTTTGCCTCCCCTGTATGTATTTATATATATGTCACTTTCACAGCCTTTCCTCTCCTCTGTGTGTTAATTGTGTCGCCGATTACGATGGCAATTTTCTGATAATGAAAATTTTATAATTTCTTTGCCTTTTTCATAAATCTGACATTTTATGTGTGATAATGGTTGACTGGTGTGTGAACTTTTTCACAACTTTGTATCTTTTGCTTCCTTTTTCTAATTTTCTTCCACATCCTTTGGTATCGGAGAAATGATTAAAATGCAAATTGAGCCCCTGAGAGATTTTTTAAAATTTTTCCGATTCCATCAATAATATTGTATTGACTTTCATAGACGATCAGACTGTCAATATGTTTGATTGACTTAATAAGTTTAAAAATGCTGAAATAAAATTTTAGGAATAATTTATAAGTGTGATCTTTTATAAGGAAAAGAATATGTGAATGGTGTTGAATTAATGGCTATAAAAAAACATATTTTCAGTCCTTTGTTATTTAATGACATAATTTTTCAAACTGGAACATTTAATTTGGCAGCAAACATTTAAGATAAATTTTAAAAGCTTTTGAAAGGAGCCTTGCATGTTGATGATAATTCATTTATTTTATTTTTAAATAATACTATAACATTGTAAATCATAAAAAATACTTTAAACATTTAATTGAATTTAATCAAATTATTTGAGATTTGTTTAAATTTAACAAAAAATTGATATATCTTTATATTCCATGTCATACCCAGTCATACTTAAAAAGACTTCGCATATATTTTGAGACAACCAGTTATTGAGAAATTTAATAGCTAAAAGCATCGTTGTTCAATTATAACAAATATTATACCTTTATTTTCTGTTATTGAACGGCTCATGTTCCTTGCATTTTTTGATACTTTAAATATCTTGAATAGAATTTTATTCTGAAAGTGATCGAATTTCAAAAGTAAACTCGCAAAAGATGAAAAAAATATTTTAAATAAAGTCAATCTTTGTCTTCTTAAAAAAAATAAATAAAGTCTTGCTAAAGGAATGCTTTTGAATTTTTTGAGATATTTCATTTATTTAAAGGTATTTTCGGTATTCACAGAATCAAAGGGATCGAAATTGTCCAAACATTTTTGGATACCTGATAGAATTGCGACTTTAAATATTAAAACATCATCTGTTCTCCTATGTACGTTTCGACATAAAAAACATTCTCAAACAAAATTGTTGAATATTTTTGAAATACTTTTTAATAAAACCCTTTGAAAAAAAAAAGATAATTATGTCATTC